TTTAATATTTGTTCCCTTATGACAAATTTTCTTATTATCAAGTACTTTAACCCAGCTGTTTTCTCTAACTAGGTAAACCCAAAAAAGAAATTTGTATTCAAGATATTCCAGTAGTTTTCACATATGTTTCTGGATGAACTACCTGCACTGCCAGTAGACAGAGAAGTCGAATTCACCATAGACCTTCATGCAGGCACCTAACTTATTTCGGTTGCTTCTTATCGCATGAGTCGTGTTGAGATGGAGGAACTAAGAAAACAACTCACTGAATTGCAGGACAGTAAATTCATCCGACACAGTGTATCCCTTTGAGGTGCCGGAGTCACATTTGCAAGAAAAGGAGATGGGACGTTAAAGTTATGTATTGACTACAGAGGCCTGAACATGGTCACAATCAAGAACAAGTACCCCCTCCCTAAGATCGATGACCTCTTTGATCAGTTATAGAGTAATAAGGTCTTCTCCAAGATAGACTTGCGTTCAGGTTACTATCAGGTAAAAATCAGGGTAGAAGACATTCCTAAAACAGCCTTTCGAACTAGGTATGGACACTATGAGTTCCTAATCATGCCATTTGGACGAACCAATGCTCTTGCCATCTTCATGAACTTGATGAATAGGATTTTCAGATAATTTCTAGATCAGTTTGTTATTGTGTTCATCGATTATATCTTAGTCTATTCAAAAAGCAGAGAGGAACACGCTCACCATCTGACTCAGGTTTTGCAGGTTATCAGAGAAAAGAAGCTGTATGCAAAGTTGAGTAATTGTGAGTTCTAGCTTGAGCAGAATACCTTCTTAGAACACATCATATCAAAGGATGGAGTGTCAGTGAACTCCAAAAAAGTTAAAGCAGTACTCGGATGGAAAAAATTGACATCGGTTAAGGAGATCCGTAGCTTTCTGAGGATGACAGGTTATTGTCACAGGTTTGTGGAAGGGTTTTCTAATCTAGCTGCTCTTCTAATTTGGCTCACAAAGAAGAACGTCAAGTTTGAGTAAAATGAGAACTGTGAAAAAAGTTTTTCAGAACTAAAGAGATGGTTGACTACCGCACTGATATTAGCATTGTCGAGCAGATTGGGTGGATATACAGTTTACAATGATGCCTCCTACCTAGGGTTGAGTTGTGTTTTGATGCAGTATGGGAAGGTCATAGTCTATGGGTCCAGACAGTTAAAAAATCATGAGAAAAACTACCCCACCCATGACTTATAACTTGCCGCAATCATCTATACCTTGAAGACTTGACGCCATTACTTGTATGGAGAGACTTTTCAGATCGATACCGATCATAAGAGCTTGAAACACATATTCACTCAAAAGGATCTCAACATGCGTTAGAGAATGTAGATAGAACTCCTCAAGCACTATGATTGCGACATCTTGTATCACCTGGGTAAGGGTAACGTGGTAGCCGACGCACTCAGTAGGAAAAATGCAGGTACATTAGTCCATTTGATGGTTTCAGAATGCAAGCAGATAGGGGCCGCACAATAGGTACGACTTCAGGACCTGAAGAGAGTCACATATCTAGGCCACTTGACTATTTAGTCGGAGTTGATCTAGAGAATAAAAGAAGGTCAGTCCACCGATTCTATCCTAGCAGCCCTCAAGAAAGATGCAGAACAGGGAGTTGACTAAGAATTCTGAGTCTCTACCGATGGGTTACTTAGATTTCAGGACGGAGTGTGTGTTTCAGGTGATAGTGAGTTGAAAAAGGACATCATGGCAGATGCTCATAGCTCAAAATTTACCATATATCCTGGGAGTACTAAGATGTATCAAAGTATGCGACCCTGATTTTGCTGGAACGGGATGAAAAGAGATATAACTGACTTTGTTTCTAGTGTTTGGTATGTCAGCAAGTCAAGACAGAGCATCAACGCCCAGGTGGGCTACTTTAACTATTACCAATCTGGAGTGGAAGTGAAAACATATTACCATGGATTTTGTGATAGGATCGCTAAGGCATGGTAAGGACATGATGCCATTTGGGTAATTGTTGACAGGCTTACCAAGTTTTCCCACTTCTTGGCCATCAGGATGATCGATCCATTAGACAAGTTGACAAGAATGTACATCCTGAAAATAGTCAGATTACATAGAGTATTAGTGACAGTAGTGTCTGACAGGGACCTCAGGTTCACTTCTCGGTTATGTTTTAGCTTCCAGCAAGTTATGGGAATGAAACTGTCCTTAATACTACATTCCACCCTTACACCGATGGACAGTCAGAAAGGATGATCTGCACATTTGAGGATATGCTTCGAGCATGCGTTCTTGACTTTAGGGGCCATTGTGATGACCATTTACCCCTGATAGAGTTCGACTACAACAACAGTTACTAAGTAAGTATTGGCATGGCTCTGTACGAGACATTGTATGGCCGCCAATGTAGATCGTTGATTTGTTGGGAAGAAGTGGGTGATAGAAAACTATTCGGCTCAGACCTTGTAATGGAGATTACAACCAAAATCGTTAAGATTAGGAAGAAAGAATATTCAGAAGGTTCAGAGCAGGCATAAGAGTTATGCGAACACTCAGAGGATGGACTTGAAATTTGAGAAAGACGATCGGGTGTTCTTTAAGGTCACTCATTTCAAGGGAATTAGCAGGTTTGACAAGAGTGAAAAACTAAGCTCCTACTTTATTGGACCATTTGAGATTTTAGACAGAATTGGTACCGCCGCCTACAGACTGCCACTAGCTCCAGAACTTTTCAGGATCGATAATGTGTTTCATGTGTCTATGCTATGCAAGTACAACTTGGACCTCTCTCACGTCTTGGCCTACGAGCCTCTTCCACTCCAGGAGGATATGTCATACGAGGGAGTACCGGTCGGTATTGTAGATCGAAAGAGCAGATTACTCTGCAACCAGAAAATTCTTTTTGTTAAGGTCATATAACAGAATCACACACTGAGAGAGGCCACATGGGAGCTAGAATTGGATTTCAGAGGCCAACATCTCCAACTGTTTGATTGTGAGTGAGAGAGACTAATTTGAGGGACCAAATTTCTTTTAAGGGCGGGAGAGTTATAATGCCCAAATTTAATTTCGGAAAAAGGGAGTTAAAATGCAATTTAGAAAACTTATGCCTCATAGGATGCTTGATCAGCAGCCCCGACGAACTAGAATGCACTGCGTGGTATCGGACACTGACACGGTGCCACGCGTGAGATTTGCGTGCCTGCGATCGAATGACCTAGATCCGTTCTCACATTCATGGACGACCTGGATGCATTCCCTCCCCAAATGCAATCGGACAGTTAGATTTAAACAGGATCAACGGTCCAGATCTATATCCTATTTAAACGCAATCGGACGGTCCAGATTGGATCGCGATGGACAATCCAGATTTACTCCCTATTTAATCGCGATCGGATGGTTCAGATCAAACACGATGGACGACCCAAATTAAATGGAGACGGATATAAATAACTCTCTTTACACCAAACCCTAACCTTAGCCGCCAGACACCTTCGCTGGAGAAGAAGACCCAGCCGTCGGGAATGAGAGCCATCGCCACCCGCTGTTGCACCAGAGCTACTTCCGATTGCCAAAAAAGGTAAAAACTTTTTTCTTTGTTCGGAATTCAATTTTAAACACCTCCGTGACCAAATCGGAGTAAAAGAGTCGGCCGATTGGCCGAAAACTGTGGGCAAAGCCCGACACCACCACTGCAGGGAATTTTAAAAGTCGCCTTCGATGAGGCATTTCCCGATTCCCGTTTTGCGTACTTTTTCCACAATTGTTATCATTGTTTTCTTCTCTACAGGTTGACCGGAGCAAAACACCTAACTGTAACGTGAGCCGAAGGAGCTGCTGCACTAGAGAGCCCTGCTGCAAGTGAGTTTCAGTTTTTTGTATTTTTTTTTGTCAATCGAGATCCCTTAATGTACTTTCTCGCAGGGATTGATACAAAATCGGCCAAAAATAGCCGACTCGAGTTGGACCGTCGCCGTGGGCGACGACGCCATTGCCGAAGCACTGCGGAGCTGTCGTGCCAGAATTATGAAATTGGCCAAAAATGGGTCCTGAGACTGATTTTAAATTTTTGAGATATTTGTAGGTATTTTTAGCACATTTTAATTCCCAAAGAAAAAATTTAGAGAACCAGTGGGACCGCTAGTAGGCGCAGTCAACAGTTTAGCTTTTCGGGTATCAAATTGTGTAAGAATCCCTCACTCTATTCTCTATTATGGAATTGAAGTCATATTAAAATTAATACGGTATTTTGTGCAATTTAGAAAATATTTATAATTAATTACGGGTTACTAATGGAGTAAGAATCAGAAATTATCTACTATTGTTTTTGTTGATTGTTTCTACGGTTTGAATGCATGACAGTATTTGATTGATTGATTTTATAGTTTTGAATGCATGTATTATTTATTTTGTATAGTTATGGTTGAATTGGGAAATTGGAGGGTAAGAGTAAATGAAAAATTTTGTGATTAAGTGAATGGATGAAAACGACAGCCTTACTGGATATCTTGGGAGATGGTGGACGGATCGAATCCATAGGAAATCCTACGTGAACGTTGTATCATATCGGATGAGGTATCGAAATTAGGTAATTTGGCACTCATACTGGACAGGGTATGGGGACAGCCCGTTTCACCCTCATACCGGACGGGGTATGGGAACGACCCGTTAATTGAGAAGGGTTCACGCGTAGCGGGAACATCCCTATGAACCCCTATGGATACTAGCAGGCTGATAGAAATGGACAGTTGTTGTTTGATTTATTGAATATGGATTTATAATGTGTGCATGTTATCGATTGCATATGAAATTATGATAAGTACTATGTTATTGTCTATATAGGTTATTTTTATAAATCTCATTGTAGTAAGTGGATGGTAAAGATTTTAGTTATCATAAATGAATTTGTTTAATTAAGTGCTCTATATGTTATTTTGATTTTATAGAAACCTTCATTTTCGTATCGGTGAGTAGTGTGATATTCTTACTGAGTTAGTGTAGTTTATTTCTTATTTAACAATTTCAGATCAAGAATACCAAGATCCAAAACCCGATCCACAAAAGAGTTGCGAGGAAGATGCTAGTTTTATTTATTTTCTACTTATTTCCTTATTTTCTTTGTATTTCTTTCAAAAAGGTAATTACCGTAGCACTATTCGGTACTTTAAGTTATTGTGTAAGGAATGTAAACTTTAACCATTCATTTTAGTTTTGCGTTTAATTTATAATTTATTTCATTTGGACATTTTAGGGTCTTTACAATTACTCTATATAGGGGAGAACGTTATTCTATAGGTCGTTTTTATAAATCTCGTTATGGTAAGTGGATGATAAAGATTTTGGTTATCATAAATGAATTTGTTTAATTAAGTATCTCATTACTTGTTTTGCTTTTCTACAAATCTTCATTTCTGTGTCGGTGAGTAGCGTGATATTCTTACTAGGTTAGTATAGCTCATTTCTTATTTAACAATTTCAGATCAAGAGAATTAGGATTCAGAGCCCGATCCACAAGAATGCTGTGAGTAGAACGCTAGTCTTATTTATTTTCTACTTATTTTCTTTATATTTCTTTCAAAAGGGTAATTACCGTAGCACTTTTCGGTACTTTAAGTTATTGTATTAGAAATATAAATCTTCCCCATTT